AGGCTTTGGAGATGTTTTAAAAGTAACGCTGCTGCCCATTACTAGCCCTCTCTTAGTCACCTCTTACGACACCACTGGGTAAGGAAAACGTGGTTTATTATGTGCTAGGACTCCACGAAATTCTTGTTAATTAAACACTATATTTACATTGAGTTCAATCGTAGAGAGACAGCAACAAAAGAAAGGAGGGACATTCTCGTACTATGATGTCCAAGTTACAGTTCGTATCTACCTGTAGGCTTCGGTTACCATTTTTCATAAGGTACATCGATAACTTATTTGCCATTCTATCATAAAAAAGCTTACCCATTTTTCAGGTAAAAGAACAGGATTTTTCACACATTGTTTCTTATCTCAACAGCAAAGTAAAACAAAATAAAAGGATATCGCGCTCGCGTAAATTCACGTCGGTTTTTTTTGCAAATAATATTATTCCAAATCAATGATTTGAACATTAATATTTTGTATGGAAGGAGAATTCAAATCGTGACAATATGGCAGCGCAATGGTTGAAAAATGGTAATATATGGACAGATACATATGTATATTGAAATGCGCTTGAATATTAATGGATGAGGCTGCTCACTGCACATACGGTAAATAAAATATTAATAATATAAATTAAATTATCATTAAAAAAGAATACTTGCTAAGAAAGTATAAGTTGCTAAATATAATAAAAACCTTACTTACTTTATGGTACTTAAGTGCACTGAAATTCTGAATAGAATTTTAGAATTTTGTCGCAATAATATATTTACATTGTAATATTCTCAGAGGAATTTCCGTACTTAATTATTAAGACTGCATATTAATACAAATAAAAATCAATTAGGAACTCGTACCAAATGTATATATAACTCTTTGTATCTTTATTTTTTACCTTTATTGCACCAAAAACAAAAATATACAATAATCAGAAAATTTCAGTGAAATACATTGATGGGTGAAAATGGTATGGTAACCCCGCTTGCGCTAACGGGATACGCTGGCAGAGCACCAGTGAAGGGTGATAGATGAGAATGAAAACAGGCCAGTTAGCCCATCATGATGAATTCATCAGGAATTAACCATGATAGTTTCCAAGGAGAACCGCGAAGAGGTCGACCTGGTTAGGTATATTGCTAGCAATGGGATTCTCAGTCTCCATTACTAACAATCCCTTTCCCCCCTTGTGAAATACATTAGCATAAAGTACAGATTACAATATAACATATAAAGATACAAAATGGCAATCTTATCGCTATGTCAATCTCTTACAGATGATATTTGATTAAAGGAGAACAGATAGAAATATATAAACCCGTTACTTTTACTTCAAGACCGGTATACCTATTAGGCTAATTCATTTTTTGTTGTTTGTAATTGGCAGGACAAGGTTTATAAAGAAAATTTTTGAAAAATCATACGGGAAGAGTACACTCGTGTGAAGGCGGGGGCGGATTGTTTCTTATACCTTGTGATATTGTGAAATTTCAGTATTATTAAATAGAGATATAAATACATATTAAGAAAGGAAAACATAACAATTTTTTTATTTCCTACAATCAAGGCTCTAACCCAAGTTTATACGCACAAATAACGCAAAGAACCTATATAGTTACACAAAGCAACTGACTTTGTAAAGTAGTTATTTAAATTAATATTAAAATTTAACGTTTAAAAACCTCACTTTATGTCACTTAAGTGCACTGAAATTCTGAATAGAATTTTAATATTTCGTCGCAATAATATACTTACATTGTATTATTCTCAGTGGAATTTCCGTACCTAATGATTAAGATAAAAATGTCCCTGAAGGTAAAGATATTCGAATATTCCTATTATAAAGAAGATAAATGTTTTATTTTTGTTGTTAAAGATAAAGAGAGTTTGCAAGTACGCCGGTGCGGTGTCTGCGTAGACAGTTCGGAAGTTCAGCGTTTAATCTCAGACTTTAATTAGTCTGCTTAGGACATATTTATTGCGAAAACAAAAATAAAAGTGTTCATTAGAATGTTTTAAAAGTAAAATATCATTTAAAAAAGATTTAAAAGTAAAACAACAGTTGGTGATGATCCTGAAAAGCGATAGGATTAAACTTGTCTTTAAAATTTTTTACTTGACCGTGAATTAAACGTTGCGTAGTTCTAACGTAATTTCATTATAAAACTGCTCATTAATTGGGCACGTGAAGTGTTATTTAAAAATATTAAGCTCCATCCCCTTTTTTTGATACCACTGAGGTGGCAAACAAGCATATGGCTCACCTGATGCTTACCGTAGCCTATGAGTGTCTGCAATACCACGGATATTACGCGCGCGATGCTAACCTTGAAAAAACCTCTATACTTCTTTTTTGAAGAACCTCATGCTGTAGTTTTTTGGAAAAACCTCGACAGAGACAGGGGGGCTTTTGGTGACATTTATTCGTGAATCAAATATTTAATGATAAATTATTTGATTTTTTGTTGTAGTTTATTCACTTATTTCAGTAAAATAATGAACAACGTCTCCCTTATTTTTATAGGTAAAATTTGGTGATATTTTGTTTGTCCTTTAGAGGGGACACATTGTATGCGCACTTATTTGTAATTACTGGTCCTTAAGATAATGTCTAACTACCTACCTAACTACTAACTAACCTCTTCTAAACTGAATATTTAATTTAAGAGAATGGCGCCCTATATTCTTCGTTATTCTGATTTTCAATTAACTCTTTGCATATTAGACGAGCAGTAGAATCCATAGATCAAGGATAATGCCTGCGGTTCTAATTTGCATCTTTATTCTTTGGTTCTTAGCCCACTAGTCGGTGTTCTCAAGATGTCGGCAATATTATCTCATTATTGGCAAGCAGACACGTTTTCCAATTAAAATATCTGATCGTATTAGACGCTTAGAATACTTAGATAATTATCTAGATTTTTCTTAATTAGAATTAAGATCGATATGAGAACTTTTAATAAGAGCAATAGAAGCCAAAATAATATTTTTTTCTATTTTTCTGTCAGTATGTTTGTTCCAGAATCATGCAAGAACTACAGAACTTTTTTATTAATGTTCAGGCTTAAGATTTCTTTAATTTTTTTTTTTTATAATTAAGGAACAAAGTTTGCGAGGTTATATTCGAGTACGTAATCGTACTCGAATATATGTTTTCGAAATTTTGTTCAAATTAATCAATCAAAATTCGAGCAGAACCTTGAGATGATTTTAATATTCGTGTCATGATTTTAATATAATAGTTTTTGAACTAAACAGTTTTGTAAACAAATTATTTAATTCCTCTTTAAAGAAATCAAGTAGAACTTAAAGTAGAAGAAATCATTTAGAAGTCACAACGGGTATAAAATGCTAAAAGTAAGAAAAGTGTCATAGTGTGAATGCGTAGTGCACGCTAATATTGTTTAGTTTTGTAGTATTGTTATTAACGCTTAATATTGTTGTTATTTCATATTACTACTAAATGAAGTAAAAATATAAAATATTAATTTATATTTCTATCTATTACTATCATAATTTATTAAGAAACTTGCCTCATCATTGTCGGTCTTAATTACATCAATAGTATTAACATTTTACTTAGCAAAAAAGGAGCTATTTTAATTTTTTTTATAAAGTACTGAAAATACGTTATATTTTTTATTTACTTCTTATTCTAAAATATTAAACAATTTACGCCCCTTGAGATACTTTGTACTTTGAAGGTTGAGATATTTTATGCGAAACTTAAAACTCAATCTTCTCGAAATTAGAATTTTGTATCTTCCAATCAATAAAAGAATTAAAATCTTGGTACAACGAAAAGGCGAGAATAATCAGTAAGGTTAATAAATCTTGATATAAAACCACATGCCGGAGTGTTACGACTTTGTGGAAATATAAGGGTATTTCCGTCAAGCAAAGCTTTTCCGCTCGTTCTTTTGAGTGTTGATATATAGCTCGTATTCTTGTATATATTATTTTACTGAGATGTGATGACAGCATTCCTTTTATATTCTTCATCATTTTTTATGAATTCTGTTTCCGGGGCTATTTTGACTTTTTCCAACTGTAATGTTAACTCGTAAATTCGTTCGCGTGACCGGTATATATCGATTGTCTACGGTAACGGTAGCTTATTTAATATCGAATTTTATGAAGATTGTTTAAGCTGTTATTTATTATCGTTAATGTGAAATTGTGTAAAAATATTTAGTTATTTGTTAGTCGATCTCGCCTAAAAAATTAAACAAATTTTAATGAAACTTTGGCAGGTTCACAGACGGGTCATATCTAAGATCAGTACTTGCTATTTATACATGTAAGTCATACAGACAACCAACCATGTGTGAAGGTGCAGCTTGTAAATAAAAATTAATTAACTCCGATACCTTTTATCTGCCTCGTCATATATTACATTACAAGAAGCGCGCTACAAAGTCGAATTGGCTAGGGAGCTAACAGATTAGAGCTAGCTAAATTACATAATTTTATTATGAATGTTAGAGGTCGGGTGTGTTAATAAGCTAGTCTCAATAAGTTTCCAGACTTGGTTTCTTGGAGCTTTGTTATGTTCATGTGCACAGGATTTCAAACTTTCTGAAACATGGACCGTGAACAATTCATGTTAATTCACGTTGCAGTGCAGCCAAACAATTTTGAAATAGGTATAGATAGATTCAGGTAGGTAGCTCAATCTATAATGTAAAGTTAATATGTAATATTTTTATATGTGCATCGAAGCTTAAGGAATATACCTGCGGATATGGGTAGATACTTGTGGTTTGTTATTGATGATAACATAGATTAATCTATTTATATAGACTTATTTTAGTATTCTAATTCTATTTTCTGTTAAAGAAACAGCATCAACCAGTAGATTCGAATGCCTTTAGTCTTAGAGATAAATTACTCTGTCATACCTTTGGCGTATGCTTATCGTAATGGTACCACAGTAGTGTGTGTGTTGTTGTTTTATAATTTGTTTCCAGCTTTATATACATATATAAATGTGACGTAGGATAATTTGTTAACAGGCGCAGGCGCAGGCGGGGCCGGCGTGCGGCGAGCGGGCGCATGGCGCTGCTGTATCGTGCGACGCGGCTCAAAGACCGCGCCGACACCCATGTGTTCACGTTCGTGGTGACGCGCTCCGCCACCAGGGAACCCGATCGCGATGTTACCTCCAAGGATTTCTGCTGCGCTCACCAGCGGTGGGCTGTCGCTTTCAGTCGCACCGATGCTTCTCTTGGTTTGTACCTACATATACCTACTTATCTTATTTATCCACATATAAACTATTCCTTTACTGCTATCATAGCCCATAGGATCGATAAGCTAAATTGGCAGTGAGTAAAGAAAGTTGGTAACCGACAATTGATGGAAGAATATTTCTCCAACGGCTACCCCATACAAGTAGGAGGAAAAAGGATTATTAGTAATAGGAACTAACGGCTGCATTATAACCAGGCCAGCAATATACCCTACCAGGTCGAACACTACATGGTTTGTAGGGGGAAACAATTCCAGATGTATTAGTCACGATGGGTTAACCGACTTATTTTTATCCGCATCCCTTTACTGTTGCCCCGTCAGCGTATACCGAAAGTGCAGATGGGGTTACCATTTCATTTTCACCCATTAAAATACCGGGGTATTTTTACGAGACATATAGCCATGTTCTTATAAGTGATACAGAGACTAACTTAAATATGTTTGCAGGTAGTTAATGAATACAGGTTACTCAGAAGAATTCTCTATGTTCCGCAGTAGATTGAATTAATGTAATTTGTCACTATAATTAATATAGAACAAATACAGTTAATATAATTCATACTTTCGATAAAAAAAAAGTGTTAAAACCTTATTGCAGATATCACTGTAACATAATAATTAATTTTATGTTCATTTGTTTACAGGAGTCTACTTAGTATGGCGAGGCGCGTGCGAAGGCATGCGAGTATACGTCGACTTTACCTTCACACTACTTAGTCGAGATCACTTTACTGCTAATGAAGGCTTTTCCGGCAAGCAAGTCAGATTCAGTGCAGGCTGCGCGGCACAGGGCCGCGGCCGCTGCGTCTCCCTCGCTGAGCTCAATGCCAAGTTCGCAGATGCTCGGGGCGAGTTCCAACTGGAGCTCAGCATGTCCCGGGTGCGAACGTTATATTCATGCGAGTTACGAGCTCCGCGACTTGATACGCCACCGATAGCGTTCGCCGGCTTTGACTGGTCTGTATCGGCTACTGGCGGGAGCAAAGAACCTCTATCACTACGTCTAATGAGATTATCAGGTGAAGGTCAACGCTGTCGCGTTCGTTATGCGCTTGCTCTTGGCGAAGGCGAGCGACGGTTACATTCGGGTCCTCTCGAATGCGTATGCGACGCAGAAGGACGCACTCCACCCTGGAATCCACGGCCACCATCACGTCTTCTACATAAGGGTGTGCGTTTAACGGTGGAATTGGTTTGGGCGAGGGCTTTAACCGAGCTGGCTATACCGGCTGCGGGTCGAGCCGCTACGTGTTACGATCGAGACAAACAAGCGTGGTCAGTTCGTTGCGATATGCACTCGGAGACAGTAAGGATGCACATGCTGTATCGTGATGTACACCACGTGCCACGAAATCACCTGCGGTACGTGAGTTGGTCAGCGTGGCTGGTGCGCTCCGCCCCTGCACCAGGGGAGCCGGACGCCGAAGAGTTGCCCGGTGCGCCTTTCGAGCACTATTACGCGCAGGAAAGTGCTGACGAAGGTCTGATGATGGAAACCGCACTTCGTGTAGAAGATGTATCGCGACCAGGATGCCCATTTCTGCATCCGGGCGGCGAGCTTCGTGTACGCCTTGAATGGGGTGACACTTACTTGCTCTTCCAAGCTACTTATCATGTCTATGACGATCTTTGTCGACTACAAGGACATCAAATGAGGTGAATATATTTTCTTTACTAATTTCTCTTATAATATTTTTATAGTGCGTTTAGTCTATAAGTCACATAACAGAATACTTTTACCATAGATTAAGGACATTGTCACTTTTTCTCATAAAAAAAAATAATAAGAAAGAAATTAAGTTCGTACTTTTGAATAGGTAAGTTTTTATTTAAACTAAATTATAATAATAAAAAGATACATTTTGGAAACTTAAAGGGGGAAAAAGCACAATAATTTTGTTTAGAACCTACTAAATGTTAAAAATCTATAGGCTAGATTATAGTAAATAATCCGTAAATATGTATATTTTTTATATACATAAGAAAAAGAGAACCGATCTATCATAATTACAGGTAAATAGTACCTGAGTTATATTGTACAAAATTAGCTAAAAGGACAAATTATTTATAACTAGTCGTAGCTTTATGAATTAGGATAGGATATATTAGCCAAATTTCGTTCGATCTATTTAATCTTTTATGATTAATGGAATAACAAGTATTTTAAACACTTTTACACTCTTCAATATTTATTTCCCAGCATTATGTCCTAGTACGCATGGTTAAATTTATATTTATAAAAGATTAATTGTATAAATAAAAAAAGTCTAAATGATAGTAAAATCCACACCAAAATGTTTAGAAAAAGTGAACTTCTTCGTTTTATATTATTAAGAGAGGAATACGACAATAAATTAAAATTTTATCGATGAATTGTTACAGACGCGAGATCGCTGCCTTGCAGGCAGAGAACTATTCTCTGGAGAGGCAACTATTTAGCTACCAGAAGAGCCTGGCGTACGCGCAAGCGCAGGCGGGCGAGCCGACGGCGGCGGAGAGCGGCGGGCGGCGCTCGCCTGCCGAACGTTCGCTCTCTACAGACACAGAGTACGCGTGAGTCGGGCTTTGATCGTGTTCAACCATCGCGGCCGCCTCAATCAACGCCCGTTCTACACTCTTCTATCTTTTCGACTGATCCTGACGTTTTTGAGCGATTTATCTATTTTTCTAGACATTTTATGGCGAGGTGCGCCCTCGTCCGCACCGCTTCCCGCCGGTCGTCTGCACTCTCGCCGCTCGAATCTATCGATAGCCGATTAATATATTCGACTACTTTTCTATTTATCTGTACATAAAATATATTTAGATATTATATATTATGTATATTTCTTAACTTAAAACTCGAATTCATATACTGCAACAGTCGATTTATTAATAAAAGTCCGTAAAATAAAATATACTTACTTAAATTTCTTTTTATTGAATCCTTATTTTTAAACAAAATGAAATGGCAAAGAAGTTTCGGCCCACTTGATGAAAAGTGGCAAAAAGGTCATCACCTAATGGAAATATAAGAAATGACCCATATTACATTCTAGAGTATGCATAAAACAGAAAAAGAGACCAGAATAATCTAATCATAATATCTACAAGGCAGCGATTACGTGTCTACAGATACTCGTATATTATTTTTCCACTTGCCTAGCTACTATTGTATCTTCAGATGAGTTACTATCTGGCAGTCGGTATCTATATTATTTTATTATTTATTCTCTTTATAAACGTATATCAAAATTCTAAAGGTAAAGGTGGCTTGTGGTTCCTTCATCTATACGAATTGACCTTGACTGTCATCAAGGTACAGCAGATAGTAGAAGTACAGGGACATCAGACACATCTCCAACACTTAACTGTAACAGTACCATCGTCTGTTAATGAAGTCCATAAATAAATCTCTAAAGAATTGGAAAAGGCTGTAAAAAGAGGGTCTAAATTTATATCCATGGGGAGATATTAAAGAAATAATAAAAAAGTATAATAAAACGAATTCCAAGTAAGAATTTAATATAGTTTTTGAAATGTCTAAATACTGGAAGTTTACAAATGTATTACACTAAATATTTCTACTGTTTATGTGATTACAAAAGTATTAAGTAAAATTATAATTACGAGGACGAAAGATACACCATATAGAAAATGTTTGATAGAATATACAATATAGAATAGAATAGATATCTTAATTATTTGACAATGACAAATTTTACATTACTAGATTATATGTATATTCGACACAGTTTATATAGAAAGATCCAAGTAGGTTGTATCTGAATTTGGTAGGGTTATACGGCCGTATAACATTTTCCATACACTTGCTTATGCTTGCTATGAATTGACAAAAATAGCAACTGATGATGTATCTTTTGGCCTCGTAATTATATTTGCATAAGAAAAAAGAGGCAATCATATGGTTTACAGATTTTATTTTACCATTCTTTCCATGTAATTCCTTATTCTTAGGTATTGGCAAGTCACATTCGTAAATATCTGTCAACGTCATAAGTGAAAACAGAATAGATATTGACGTATCTATTTTTAGTATATATATAATCATAGTCCATCTAATCTGTTTAGTAGTTTACTAAAAAAATATTGATATTGTTAGGATTGCAAATTTATTATAGAAATTTAGCTAGAGTACGTATAATAAATAGTACTAGCTGTGGTACTTTTATTATATCGGTAGATATTATTTTTTTTCCAGTTACAACTTGTTAATTTGCACCTCTACTTCTGAGAGAGTTAAATTGCAGAGATGTATTCTACAAAAATATTCCAAAAACAATTACCGAACCACTGTGGTGAGACCGCCACCACCCTTATCAAGGAGGAGCTTCTTGATACACAGTGTGATATTACTGACAATGTGTCTTCTAACATAGAACAAAATATAGTACTAATACATAAAGAGTCCCCAGAATACAATACTGGAATAAAGACCTTTCAAAAACAAATGAACAAACAAAAAGTCCTACAGTGTAATGTGGATATAGCTGGAGTTGTAAAAACAGAGTGTATTGATGGAACTGTGGAACCAGCAGCAACAACTGAACATATATTTGCCAACAAAGAAAATTGTACACAACTATATGAGAATCATGAAATAAAGGATGAGTTGATTGTAGGACCAACAGTTGTACAAGCAGTGACATTTGAACCTACTAAATATTTGTTACATTTGAAAAATAGTTCTGAAAACCTTTTTTGTAATGCTGATGTCTATAAACCCAAAGACCTAAAAACCAAAGTATCTATTGATAAGCCATATAGTTGTAGTGTGTGCAAGAAAGGCTTTAAAAAATATACATATTTAAAACAACACTTATATGCCCATAGTGATATAATGCCACACAGTTGTGATGTGTGTAAAAAATGTTTTAAATCAAAATATCTTTTGAAGCGACACATGTTTGTTCATGTCAATGAAAAGCCATATAATTGTGATGTGTGTAAAAAATGTTTTAAAACAAGGCGTGAAGTAAAACAGCATATGAATATTCATACAATTGAAAAGCCATATGGGTGTGATGTGTGTATGAAAAGTTTTAAAACAAAGTTTATTTTAATCCGACACTTTTTCATTCATACAGCTGAAAAACCCTATACCTGTGATGTGTGTAAATATTCTTTCAGAAGAAAGGAACATTTGCAACGGCACATGTATATTCATAATCGTGAAAAGCCATATGGCTGCAGTGTATGTACAAAATATTTTATTACAAAGTGTGATTTGAAACGGCACTTGACTGTGCATATAGTTAAAAATGCATATAGTTGTAATAAATGTAAAAAAAGGTTTAAAGCAAAAAGGTATTTGAAACAGCACTTAGATACTCATAATATTGATAAGCTGATATATAGTTGTGATATTTGTAAAAAATGTTTTAAATCAAAGAAAGGCTTGAAAACACATTTGCAAAGTCATACATTTAACAAGTCCTATATTTGTAATGTATGTAAAAGTTTTTTTAAAACTGAAAAGAGTTTAAAACAGCATATGTATGTTCATACTGTTGGAAAGTCCTATAGTTGCGATGTATGTAAAAAACATTTTAAGAAAAAATCCTTTTTAATAAAACATATTATGGTTAATATGCATATTCATAATAATGAATATATAGTAAAAGGTGTAATCATATGAGTACTTTGACAACAAATCACATGCACATGCAATTGCGACAGGAAATATGAGTACCTGCTCGATATATTGAGGAGATAAATATACTATGAGTATTAATTTCAGTACCTACCTTTTAAAATAACCACAAACATATTTATAATAGTAGTACTAAGATCCCTTTGCAGTAGAGCAAGGAGCTTTGGTCTAAGAACAACAACTACCTACTATAGTTCATTATATTAAAAATGAATAAGTTAAGAGGATCTATATAGGTACTTATATAACTATATTAGCTGTAAGTGTACATCTATCATTTGTTAAAACAATAAAATATTAGCACGTATTTATTAACGCGGCCTTTAAATTTATTTTGTGGTTTGTATTGATTTAGATCGAAGATATCCAAAATATATTCATTAGTAGATACAGAAAAAAAAAAACAGTTTAACGCCATCTTCCTGCATTGATACAAAACCTATCAGCACACTAAAACACCATTACATATACGAAAAGATGTTGAATTAAGATTATAATAAATAACTGACAATATTGGCGAGTCTAAAAGACTATTTTCTAGAAGGAGAAAGGGGGATATGGGGCTGCCCTCATGAAAATTGCGTATAATATGTATCTACTTTCAAACATGTCAGAAGTTTTGCTCGCATTCTGGGCTTGGCACAAAGTACCCTCAACCCTCCCTTTAATTGCTCCTATGATGCTAGCGTTTTTTTGTTTTAAAGCAACTTATTATCATTGTAATTTGTAGCCCCTATTAGCTCTTATTCAGTTTTTAATATTAAACTAATTACAGTTATAATTTTAGTTCCTTAATCGCTCTCCAGAGGCGTAATAATATTCATTCGCTATTAACTTTTTTTTTAGTAATGTAAAAATACTACTATTATAACAAATCACTTTAGGCGAGGTTGCTTTTCTATTATCATCATTGAATGCTTAGATATGTATTTATACCTTAAAATTGAATGCCTCAATGTAAACATATACTAGTCAATAAAAACGTTTTACACTTTTATCATAAATTTGTGCAACAGATTTATGGTGAATTTGTGTAAAATGATTAATTTCAAAACATTCACCGGCAGCACACCTGCAATGCCTCTAGCGCTGCGGGTGCTTTATAGACATATAAGGGTGGTCATGGGTGACGGTAGTCATTTACCATCAGTTGAACCGCATGTTTTTTTGTCTCTTGTGTTAAAAAAATTCAATCGGGTTCAAAAGGAAATGTTTTCAGAGCCGTTAAGAACTTTTTTAAAAAATAAAAAGTAATCTAGATGCAAATAAGCATAAATAACGTAAAAAAAGAATGTTAGGTACTATCCTTATTCTATGATAAATAGTTAAAAAACGTCATTGTGACATCTCTCAATTTATTATTCAGTAGTTTTGTAAATATTTAAATACTCCTTTGGATTTTAAATTAGTAACCAAAATCTAAATTCCTTTTCCAAAAAAAGTTATTGTAGTATTATTCTTTTAAATCGATATTATTCTAACACAATACTATGAAACAATCGTAATTAGAGATATATTCCAGAACAGAATTATATTACCAGAGGGAGACTTTGTACAAAAGTCGATTGCTTGGGTACCTCTGTCCCATTCGCGTTTCTACCGTGAAGCAGTTGTGTTTGCATTGCTGTGTTTCGGTTTGAAGGGTGGGATATGGCGTGAATTTACAGGGTACAGAGGAATAACACCTTAGTCCTCAGGAATGGCAACGCATGGAGGGTATCATGGGCGAAACAGTATACTCTGTTATGTCTATGGCACTACTCATGTCTATAGGCGACGGTTACCACTTTCCATCAGGTGGGCCGTCAGCTTGTTTGCCATTTTAAGTTGCATAAAAAAAAAACAGTATTATAATAGAAAAATATTTTAAGAAATAAACTTTTGATTCTTAGATTTAATTGAAATTGAATAACTCGATGCGATACTTCGAATCAAGTCTGATTACACAAACCGTTCTCGATTACTTCGTGATCGTTAACTAAATATAAAAAATGTTAGTTAAATTAGTACCATTGTAGACCATCAGCGACAATTGGCATTGAAACCATGTCTTCAAAGTTATTTCTAATATTAAAATTTTATTTGAGATCACAGGGAATGTTTAAGAATCAATATAAATTAAAACATGGATTTAAGTCGAAGTTGTAAAATTTATTTATGATGGTTCATAAAATAGTAATTTCGCGAAACTATATATATAAGAGAGGTCTAGGGAAATGGCACCTCCAAATCGATCCAAAAAATTTTTTATAATTCCCTATTCCCATAAATTAAGTTCTTGAAATATTAATTCTAATTTTACGTTATAGTTTCTAAATTGCTCAGTAGAGGTGTTACAACCATTTGCTAGATAATTATTTTTACCAAAAATTTCCTTGTTCTTAAATTTTTATATACTGTAAAACAGTTTTTTTTTTTTTTTTTTTTTTTTTTTTTTATAGAACTAGAATGGCAAACAAGCTGACGGCCCACCTGATGGAAAGTGGTAACCGTCGCCTATAGACATGAGCAGTACCATGGACATAACAGAGTATACTGTTTCGCCCATGATACCCCCATGCGTTGCCATTCCTGAGGACTCAGGTGTTATTCCTCTGTACCCAGTAAATTCACGCCATATCCCACCCTTCAAACCGAAACACAGCCATGCAAACACAACTGCTTCACGGTTGAAACACGAATGGGACAGAGGTACCCAAGCAATCGACTTATAATATATTTATTAGATCTCCATTACTAAAAAAATCAGTTCCTCCCCACTTAAGTATGATATGTTTATTCTGTGCTTAGGTCCTATGATAAGATTAACATTGAATCCATTGAAGTATTTAAAATTATTTTGAAAGATAAAAGGATGCTGTTCCTTTAAAAAAACACATTTATGTAGTCTCACACATGTCTTTGTGAATCTTTGCTCGAATCCTGTGGTGGATATCAATAGGCTTCTGCCAGACTGGTGTGGATGCGGTCCCCTTTTATTGCTAGTATTACATTACTGTACTAGAAGTATATCCTATTGGATCAACCTCCATGCGATTCTCTCTAAAAAATATCGTGGTTAATCGTGGAATTCTTGCGGAATTCGTCACGATCGGCTAACTTATCTACTTTCATTCTCACCTATCATCTCTCACTGATGCCTCGTCGAATGCATATATAACCAGAAACAAGGCTCAGTAGGTTCTTACGATCTAGTGGAATAAAATTCTGTAAATAGCTTTGTATAGAGTATTATATTTCTTTTTCTACGGACCTGGTGGATTCTTTTTTTTATTACAATACCGTAGGTCATAGAATAAAAATAGTATTAGAAGATAATTTCTTTAATCTGTGACAAAAGTACTCTGTGTATATAGTTTTTGTAATTTGACAGAGAATACTCTGTGCTTTTATTTTCCTGTCTGTATTAAATGTTTATATTAATATAATAATTAATATAATTGTATACAATTATTATTATTAAATTTCTGCTTTTAACTAAAATTTATTAGATATGGCACAAGGGAAATTAAAAGTGAAAAATAAGCTACCTGCCGGAGCTAAAATTAAAAAAGGCAAAGGGAAAGCAATCACAAAGCGAATTAATGCGCCAGTACCGAGTAAAGCTAAAGCAATAGAAAAGAATAAGATGAAAGATAAATTAACAAAAATGGTAAACGCTGCTGCAGAGCAACAGCTTCGGGCGCTGGCTTCGAGCTCTGGAGAACTATCGGCGGCTCAACAAAGAGCTGCGAAGGCACCAACTGCACCAGTGCCTGCTAAGTGACACTTAACCTAAATTAAGATGTTAATTATGTACAAATAAATGTAATGTTTTAAATATTCATTGTATTATAATGTAAATATACTGTTAATGTTTCATTTTATCTATAAAGCATATTCAGACAATATTGTATTTTAGACAAACTAGTAAGTACCTGATTGCATTAATAATATCCACAGACCGAATTTTACTGTCCATTTTTTGAGGGAAATTAGCATTTCCAATCACAGTTTTATTAATTGATATTTATCCTTTGCAATTTAGAGATATCTAACTGGTATAAGCAAAGATATTGGGGTGGTATATTTATGGGCAGTATATTACCCATGCCTAATCAAAAACTTTGGGGGGAAAGGGATTGTTAGGAATGGAGTTTAACAGCCCCATTGCTAGCAATATGCCCTATTAGGTCGACCTCCACATGGTTCCCCTTGGAAACCATCATGAACAATTCTTGTTGAATTTATCACAATGGGCTAACTGACCTGCTTCATCCTCACCTATCATCCTTCACAGCCCTGCTGGTCTATACCGATAGCGCAGGTGGGGTTGCCATTGCATTGTTACCCATTAAAAAAAATCAACAACTATGTTGACCTTTACACAGATAAGCATTTCAATTATTTTTTATTTAAGAACAAACAATAGACACTTAAGAAAACAAAATAGAGAGGACCAAGTGCCCATACATGACTGGGAAATTTATAAAATTATAAATAAAAAGATAATGGTACAAAATTTAGTTACAGTAATAAAAGCAAAAATGGTATGGACTAGAGGACTTTTGCTTTAGGTTTTTATCTAATGACATTACATTTATGTATATTCCTACTTTTACATATTAACAGTTAGTAAAAAAAATATAATAAAAAAGGATAAAAGGGAATAAAGCAATCTATATTAATATTTAAACTTTAATGCACAATATTTTGTGTACATAATATAGTGAACTTGACACTGCTATAACCGAAAAGAAGGTAGAAGGGGGGGAGGGGATATCAATTGAAATATTTTTTATGATCATTTTGGTTTAGTACGCCAAAAAGCATAGAAATACATCTTAACTCTGTAGAAAAATGTAATCTTCTTCAGTACATAGTAAGAGGGTAATTAATAGGTAAAAAGGCTTAATTGTTAAGTTGTTGACCATACCATTCATAATTTTAAAGTATTGGAATCGGTAGATATTCTTTGCATTTTTCGACTTATGAGATCTGTTGAGTAAAATGCCTCATAAACTTATATAATGTAATATGTACACCTTTGTCAAACAAATGCATATAAAAAAAATATTTTATTTTAATTACATATAAAAAAAAGTATTCAAAACCTAGTATCCTTATCATTTTAGCTATTATTCGTCCACTGCTGGACATAAGCCTCCCCCATAGACTGCTATAAAGAACGGTCCTGAGCCACCTGAATCCACTGACTCCCTGCAATGCATTTCAGGTCGTCACTCCATCTAGTGGGGGGTCGTCCTACACTGCGTTTGCCCGTACGGGGTCGCCACTCAAGAACCTTACTTCTCTATCGGTTATCGGTTCTACAAGTTATGTAACTAGCCCATAGCCACTTCAGCTTGCTTATCCTTCGGACTATGTCGGTTACGTTGGTTTTTTTGCGGATATCTTCGTTTCGGATTCTATCATGCAAAGAAACTCCGAGTTTAGCCCTTTCCATAGCCCGCTGAGTAATTTTGCACTCGTGTAGGACCAGGTTTCGGTTTCACAAGTCATCACTGGCAACACACACCGGTTAAAAACCTCCGTTTTCAAATTCTGAGGTATTTGGGATGAAAAGATGTGACGTAATTTTCCGAACGCTGCCCAACCGAGTTGGATTCGTCGAGTCGTCGTTTCAAACCCTAGTATAGTATATTGAAAATATTAAAACATAATAAGTGTTTGTCTGGGGAGAAAGGGATTGTTAGTAATGGAGATTAAAAATCCCATTGCTAGCAATATACCCAACCAGGTCGACCTCGTCGCGGTTCTCCCTGGAAACTATCATGGTTAATTCTTGATGGATTCATCATGATGGGCTAACTGGCCTGTTTTCATTGTCATCGATCATCCTTCACTGGTGCCCCGCCAGCGTATCCCCTTAGCGCAGGCGGGGTTACCATTCCATTATCACCTATAAAAAAAAAAGTGGTTATCTGGACCCGCACTATCATTTAATCTACGTATTTAACATTGTAGATAGGTTAACTATTTATAAATATCAGTTCAAAACACAGTAAGAACCCTAAACAAACGAATATAACTGAAGTAATTGCTGCCTAATAATAATGATTTACAAATATTAATTACTAGCTTTTACCCGAGGGAGACTTTGTACAAAAGTCGATTGCTTGGGTACCTTTATCCCATTCGTGTTTCAACCGTGAAGCAGTTGTGTTTGCATGGCTGTGTTTCGGTTTGAAGGTTGGGATTTGGCGTGAATTTACTGGGTACCGAGGAATAACACCTGAGTCCTCAGGAATGGCAACGCATGGGGAGTATCATGGGCGAAACAGTATACTCTGTTATGTCCATGCTACTGCTCATGTCTATAGGCGACGGTTACCACTTTACATCAGGTTGGCCGTCAGCTTGTTTGCCATTCTAAGATGTATAAAAAAAAACCCACGACTTCGCATACTCGGAATTTGTTCACTATGCCCATTTTCAATCCATATAGTACGTTTCTACCAAAGAGCGCCTTGCCGTCTAATTAATTGCCTAAAAGGTAATACGAAGTCATGAACTCGTTTGCTCGTATGTTTTAAAATTGAACAGCCAAATTCTAATACGGGGAGAGAGAGACTTTTAGTAATTCAAATTACGAGTCCCTTTGCTAACAATATACCCTATCAAGTCGACCTCTTGATCCCCCTGGAAAATAGCGTCCTGAATTCCAGGTGTATTCATCACGATAGCCTAACTGGCCTGCCTTTAATTCTCACTTATCATCCCTCACTGGTGCCCCACCAGCGTATAGCGTTAGCGCAAAAAAAAAAAATGTTTTTAATAGATGAAAATGGAATGGTAACCCCGCCCGCGCTATCGGTATACACCGACGAGGCACCACTGACAGATGATAGGTAAGAATGAATGCAGGTCAGTTGGCCCACCATGATGAATTCGACAAGAATTAAACATGATGGTTTCCAGGGGGAACCGCGTGGAGATCGACCTGAGAGGGTCAATTGCTAGCAACGGGGCTATTAGACCTCATTACTAACAATCCCTTTCCCCCCAGCGTTAGCGCATTATTATCCATTATCTATCAATTAAAAAAATCTAAAAAAAAAGTCAATTCATTTCTTTGAGGACGCGTATAAGGCAGCCGTATCTAAAACGATTAATGCTACGACTTTGATTTCTATTGAATTTATTAAGCATCGATACCGGAAATCTTTGTCCTTAAATGTAAGTGGGCCAAAAAACAAGTTAACTGTAGGAACTAGATTTACTAACGGGTGGACCCGCGTGACTCGGCTCCCTTTCGCATTTGCAGAAATCTAGTTTGAATATAATATGCGAAAACATCAATATGATGTTATGTAGGTATATTATTATTATTGAGTGTTTACTGACTCATCACCGATGAGAATAAACATCCTTTTGAAAATATAAAAATGCGCTGTTCCTGATTACACGTAATACAAGTTATATGTTTTTTAACTAGTTAAAGGCTAGTTAAAAATAAATGCCAATGTTCAGAGTACATAAATTTATCATAATACATTGTATAATACATACATATATACCTGTACTGCGTACGGTTGTACATATATACACGTTTATACGTACTTATGTACCATATCAAGGCAATGTCGCATGGTGAGTGAACGAGTCCTGTGTCCTGCCTGCATCAGTGTTACAGGGCTGCCACTTCCTGAATTGGGATAAGTAAACCCTAAGTATTGAAATTATTTCGCTTTAATTTAATTATTACTATTACCACTTCAGAATAGTTGCTTTATCCCGGGAATAATTTTTTTTTCTTAATAGGTGATAATGAAATAGTAACCCCACCTGCGCTGTCGGTATACACCGGCGGGGTATCAGTGAAGGATGATAGATGAGGATAAAACAGGTCAGTTAGCCCATCGTGACGAATTCAACGAGAATTGTTCACGATGGTTTCCAGGGAGAACCACCCGGAGGTTGACCTGATAGGGCATATTGCTGGCGGCAATGGGGCTGTCAAACTCCATTGCTAACAATCCCTTCTCTCCCCCCCCCCCCCCCGGAATGATTGTCTCCATATAGTTTAGGGTGGAGAGAAGATTATTAATAATGGGGATTAGTAGCCCCATTGTTAACAATACACCCTGCCGGGGGAAAGGGATTACTAGTAATGAGGTCTAATAGCCCCGTTGTAAGCAATTGATCCTATCAAGTCGACCTCCACGCGGTTCCCCCTGGAAACCATCATAGTTAATTCTTTTCGAACTCACCATGGTGGGCCAACTGACCTGCATTCATTCTCACCTATCATCTTCCACTGGTGCCTCGGTGTATATTGATAGCGCGGGTGGGGTTCCATTTACATCTATTAAAAAATACACCCTGCCAGGTCAACCTCTTCGCGGTTTTCCCTGGAAACCATCGGTTTCTATAGAACACCAGTCGCCAGGGTGATTTCCAAACGAAATCACTTGGTATACCAAGTGAATTCGTCACGATGGATTAACTGACCTGCCTTTTCACTCTCACCTATCCTTTATTGGTGCCCCGCCAATGTATAATTTTTTTTTAACTGCTGATAATGGTATGACAACCCCGTCTGCGTTATCGGTATATAATGGCGGGGCACCAGTGATAGACAAATCAGTTAGCCCATCCTGACGAATTCATCTAGAATTAACCACGATGGTTTCCAGAGGGAACCACTTGGAGGTCGACCTGACAGGGTATATTGCTAGCAATGAGTCTGGCAGTCTGCATTACTAACAATCCCTTCCCCCCCACGCGTAGAGGTTAGGTCGAGCTAACAATGTCTGTTACTAGCGATAAGGTCACTAGTTCCTATTAGAAGTACTAGTGCTGAATTCCAGGTGTATTCATCACAATGGCCTAACTGACCTATCTT